AAAATCCGAGAACCATTCAATTAAATTGGCGTGGCCTAATGGTAGGTGTGTGTTTGATGACTGTCCATGTTAGTTGACACTTACTGACGGCGTTAACTAGACCTCACACCGTGACTGTCATAGATAATTTTTTCATGGCCCAGAGGCGTCCGGCACCAGAGGCTAATTTTTCTCACAAGGACTCCAGACATTTCTGTAATGTCGCAAAAGACAGATACTAGTACCAGTAACAGTTGGGGGTTTACATGCGCTACCAACTGACCCGGCCGATGGGTCTGGACATTTTAGCCGAATCGTTAGAGCGTCGGCATGTGGACTGGTGCCCGGGTGCCCGGGTTTGGTCGTGGGTTCGATGTTTATCTGTATTCTACTCGCTCCTCCTGTTTCTTACACTATCAACTAAATACTACTGTAGCCTCTACCAGGCCTCAGAAGCGACTTGAAAGAGTAGAAATTGACCAAATATACAGATAACACTGTCAGATCGCTATCACCAACTACAGTAGGGGCATTATCATTTAGAGTTAGATGTTTAACGGTTAGGTGTAACAAGTCGTTCGGTGTAATGTAGCTAGCTGCCGCCGCGTCGCGTGCCTGCGAAGCTGGTGTGTTGCTACGCCGAAGGGCGGTTATACCGGCTATACAGATACAGAAGCTGGTGTGTTACGCCGAAGGGCGGTTATACCGGCTATACAGATACAGATACAGATAACATGCCAAGGGAGTTGGTCCGCTTAAGGAGCACAGTTTGTATAAAGAGCCTGGTAGAGGCTAATACTAGTGCACCACAGGTTATACATAAATGCCTATGGTTAGGTTCTGTAGCCTGGAAGCCAGACTGTTTCTAGGGCCCACCTAGGGGGCCATCGGAATGGGTCGAGGTAGCAACATGCCCCAAGCAAATTTTGACTTCGCACCCACAAGCAAACACCGAGTGTCCTGAAAACAGTCTGTTTTCCAGGCTATTAGGTTTTTCAGGTTTGTAGCTGGCGATGTTCTGAATGTTCGAGTTTAACCAACCTTTCTTGTTACCAAAACAGTATGTTTAACTTAGTATTAGTCTCTGTATTTATAAAGTATACGTAATACAGCCACTACCAGGCACCGCGGATAGCTGGAAAAATAGTAGAAATTGACCGAAATAAAGGAATAATATACCAGGGGAGGTAGCCGGGCAGAGAAGATCCAATTCGCGACCCACTGTCCGGCTAACTCCCCTGGTATATTATTCCTTTATTTCGGCCAATTTCTACTATTTTTCCAGCGATCCGCGGTGCCTGGTAGAGGCTATACGTAAGGTGCAATAATGTGATCAGCTGGATTCCATGCACACATGTTTGCACAGTTGTATTTGGTTTGACAAATTGGATACGCCAACATATAGATACAGGTATAGATAAATCTAAATTAGAAATTGCGTAGTCTCCAAGTGCCATCTTAAGCATTCTGTGTGGGGTTGGGCGTAGAGCAGAGGGCTCGACTCGGAGCCAAGAGGTCCCGGGTTAGAGTCCTGACATGCCACCGATCTTGTGCCCTCGAATTTCCAAGTGAGAATGAGTATTGTCTTGTCCTGTCCTGTATTTTTACTCTGTGTTGGTGGCGGCATAAATAAGTTGATATAATTTGAGTGTGCCGGCACCACGTCTAGTCATGAATTGTTGGAATATATATATAAAAAAAAAACAATATTCTGCCCCTTCTGAATCCGAAGCTCCTGTCACACATTCAGAACCTTCCCCTTGTAGTTTGGGAGCAGTCTGACCAGATTTAGGCCATGCCTAAGTTTCTATAGAAATCGAATCAGGTTTTAGTTAAATCTGAGTCAAATTTGACCCTCAAACACCAACCAACCAACCGCCAGTAAGGCAACCATGGCCAAACCTCCCGTCCACACCAGAACAGTAAATATTGTTGAATAAAAGATCTGTTTAGTTGTGATATCATGTTTTGCCACCTCAATTCTTGTTTAACAAGGTTTATGACTTGTTGACAAGGAAAATGAAAGAATCTTGTTTTTTGACCCGCCTTGTTTTTCTCGCCCTATCGCATGAGATTTGGGGTCTGTGGAGGATGTCATCCATAAAATTTACTTGCTGTGGCCTTAATTAAATTACCTTGTTGTTCTACACATGTTTGTAACCTTTCGATAAGGCCACACCGCCTTAACTTTATGGATGAAATCCTCCGAAGACCCCCAAACTAGTGCGCGCGGGCGAATAAAACGATCTGGCCAAAAATGAAAATGCTACTAAGCCACAGGAAAACAAAGCTGGTATTATAAATTTGCGGTAATACATAGCGACGTATACGACAAGCCGGCACATGCTGGCTCTTTGCGGAATTTATGAATTGGCACTGACCACCGTACGTATGTACTGAGTTCTATGAGTCGTGGAACTTCGGTAGCCTGGGTGCCGTCCTCCAGAGTTACCACCGGCTCCGTATTGTTCGCTAACTACCATGGACTACCCAGGCCTAGAGCCAGAACAGAGCCTTGGAGGACGGGATCTTTTTTTTTGTGCGAAAATCAGTGCGCGCGTGGATGTCATCCATAAAATTAAGACGGTGTGGCCTAAGGTTCCCAGAAAGTGCGTTGAAGTGTTGTCCCACAGTGGTGCGTAGGGTGCGTATTTGGCCTCACTGGACCTGCGAAATGTGAAGTGTTTTTCACCCTACATTGTATTGAGGACATTTTGCTCTCAATTACGAAGAGAAGTATTTGAAGGAGGTGTGTTATCTCCCAATCATGTCCCATACAGGACTCTTGAAGTGTACTAAACTATTTAGTGCATTGTTAGAAGTCAAACATTTTACACATGGCTGTCTTTGATTCACGTGGCGTAACTCGTGCTCCTAAACGTTTTCTTTTGAAATGAAATGACCTAGGACTTTAGTTCAGAAGCCTGGAATAGTAGCCTCCATAGCATGCCAAAAACTGGGGGGTTTAGGGGTCTTAAGGGTCCATGGGAGCTTTTATGTGCTATTTTCTGATTGCATATAGACAACATAGCCGGCCTGGTTGAATTACCCCCAATGAACTGGGCTAATCAGAAAACCGCCGAAGACTACCAAACCTCCAGTTCTATAAGCCTGCTACGGAGGCTACTGGAATAGCGTGTTTGAAATCTCTTTTTGTTGTAAGTAATGTTGAGAATGAGAAGAAAGAAAGAAGGGTCACCCATGCAGACGATTGTTCCTTCCGTTAGTTTAAATTTGTTTGGATTGTTGTAGCCTCAAAGCAGATGTAATGACATGACTTGCTCTCCGTGTTTACGTGTGATGTTCTGCTGTGTTTGACTTAGTAAGGCCACAGCAAGTAATTTTTATGGATGACATTAGCACGCATTAATTTTCGCCAGATTTTGGAGAAAAAATTCCTTTTATATGTGACGGTGGCTGTGTATATGTTCCCACTGAAGTAAAACCATTTTTTGGCCTGCCTTGTTTTTTTCGCCCTCTCGCATTATATTTGGAGTCAGCGGACGATGTCATCCATAAAATTTACGTGCTGTGGCCTAATGTCCATTGACATTCTGTCTTCGCAGCCACCAAAAGCTCTGCTTGGAGGTTGTTGATTTTAACCTCCTTTATTAACTATAGGGGCCTGTGTAGAGTGCCATACTAAAAAGGCGTACTAAATGTCGCAAAGACATAAAACACAAGCCTCTACTAGGCTTCAGAGGAGGCTGAAAAGAGTAGAGATTTGTCAAAAAGACAGAGAACATGCCGGGGAAGTTAGTCCGCTTGAAGAGTACATTTGGCCGCTCTGGGAAAACACAGAGACTGAGCTAAATCTGCTTGTAGGTATGAAAGGAAGGCAAGGCGTTCGGGATTCGTGACGTGTGCCCTAGGTCAGGCTTAACCGCTAGGTGTCGTTCCTATATTTCCTTGTTACCACCCTTGATACCTTAATGCGGGGTGGGGTGGGGGCGCCCTATGGACATACGGGTATCCTGGTAAATTTTGCGGCATTTCTGTATATGTGTATACGTTTACACGTAGTCCTATAGCCTGATGTAATAGCTACAGTAGATTGACGTACTGCTTTCCGTACGCATGGCATCAAAGTTATTTTGTTGGTGGGGGTAGG